ACACATATTTAAAGTCTGGGAGACAGTGACATGTGCCATATGCTGTGTTCAATTTAATTGGATGCACTTCTATGATAAATATGAATTAAAGCTTTGAAGGTAATGCAAATAAAGCCCTTGATCATTATGTTGAAGAGCAGACTTATGAGCATAAAGAACAATGAGTTAAACTCGCAGCCCAACTCTCTGAAAAGCAAGAATTACATTGCAGCTTGAATGAAAACCACAAACGAACTTCTACAGCCTCGAGACATTTTTAAATAATCAAACAAAGTGAGAGTTCTAAAACCTAAACTCCACAGGTGATTTATTGAAATGTCCACACCCACATGCGTGAGCTAGCTGCGTGTGGGAGGGGTTAATCAGAGTAAATCGCTGACACTAATCCACAGCCAATCCCAACTGGTCCTTGCTGGCGTATTTGTATAGGCAGCCTGTGTGCAGTTTTCAGTGTACATGTAAAGAGCAGGGGATTCAGAGCTAAAGTGGAAAATATATATGCTATTCAAACACTAGGGGACAGTTTGCAACTTTTGTTGGGGTGGGAGATTCACATATAAGTGACTTGAGCCTTCCTTTAGCCAACAGTGTACATTTATTAGCAGTGTGTAACAAAACAAGCTATGAGCAATGCATTAAGCAGATTCTGGAAATTAAACCAAAAGGTAAAATCCAATCTATGAGGTGTTGTTTTGCTATTTTCACCCTGAAAGCAAATGTTATACATGGCATTTGAATGCCTTTGCTGCACTTTATTAGGGGAAAATATTAAAATGCATCCACCTGCAGTCTGCCGAGCTTAACAGCACTGTCATTGCTCGGTAGATACATCACTTGAATAAAGAGGAGCTCACCTCAGATCAATAAACACACTCTCTGAATGCAGTTCCCAGACAAAATGTTTTCTGCTTATACTTCCAGCTGCTTTACAGGGACTGAGTAAGCATGACAAGCCAGATATTGAAGAGCTTGAAAAACCTCAAAACTTTATTGCAGATCAGGTTTATGCTTTAAAATTACCTGCACACAAAATGAGCATCAACGTGAACTGACTTGCTAAAACTGAACAAATTCTGCAGTGTGTTTCTATTTTTTTATGGAAAACGTTGGGCTCCATGCTCCTGCTAAGATGTACACCGTTCCTTTTTTCAAGTCTTCCTTTTTAAGCCAAGCAGTCTCAGCATGATGAAACCTCTGCCATGTTTCTTCTCCTCATAGATGCATTACCATACACCTAAGCTTCCCTTTAGTTCTATACATAACTGTCAAAGAAAAGCTTTTTTATGAATATAAATCCAAGCTTTTTGTGCTTTTTTTTTTTACTTGTCAGCAAACACTGATAAAATTCTGCTTTTCTCAGTTTGGTAGTGCGTGGTCTGAAACCACTATTCCTGACTGATCCCTTTCGGATTTAACACATGTCTCTCTGATCATTTCCATTAGGTGCCGTGGACTACTCAGAAGAATACATTTATTTGTGAGAGTTATACTGGACTGCGAAAGTCAACAGTTGACCATCTCTCTGTTAATTTCTGCATCATCCCTTTCAGACTTCGCTTTCTTATTATAGAATTTCTGCCCCTTACAGACAACACTCTGTTTTAAAAGTTTAAAATCAAAACATTAGTTTATAAAATATAAAGCTCTACATTCAAAGAAATAGTTAATTACCCTAATTTATCTCTGTTTTTTTAGATTGTACAAACATAAATTAATCTTTTTTTCACAGATGTTCATAGAAGGTCTTCTTGGCTAAAATCTGATTACTAGAGATTAAATGTGACTTTTTACAAAGACTAATGACTGATGTCCATGATTGATTGTTAATGTTACAACATAATTGATCTTCCTTGAACAATACATTGTTCCATCTTGCATAGGTCAAAATACACTTTTTCATGAATGAAAAAACATGGAAACAGTTTGCCACAAGGAAACCAGTAAATTCATACTGAATGATAAACTAGGATAGCTTTTTGTTATCATTCTCAGCTGACATTTCGAGAATCTTGTTGTGTTTTAGATGAAGAACTGAAATCTGAAATATATTACCACAAAGTGCCTTTAATAGCAGCAAATTCGATTATCAAATATGAATTAAAGACACCAGTGGATACCTAGAACAAGTTGCGAAAAGCCATCTCAAAGAGTGAAAAGAACAGAAGGCAGAAGCATCACGACACAGACGTTTCCAGATGATGTTCAATGAACCCGCTTGGCTCTCTGTCACCTTTTCACTTCCACTCTAAGCTCGGTGGATGCTGCTGCTGTTTGCCTCAATGGAAGGTTTTGCTGTCAACCCAGAGCAACATGATCCCCTTATCTATTGCTGCACTGCAGCCATTGGAAAAGTCTCCATTGAAGTACTATTGATTTGGCTTGTGTGCCAAACTGACAGGGCAGTTGTGAGGTGATCAAAGGTAGTCAATGCTGTTAGCCTCCATCCTTGGTCCTTAAGCTTTAGCTACTGCATAGTTTAAACAGGAATAAAGGGTTGCATGATAATTTTTTAGTGTAATGAATAATGGAAAATGAAAGGAAATGTAGCTTTTACCCAGGCAGTTTAAGATGATCACAACTAAAAAAACTTGAAACAGTGGGTAGTAAGTGAAGTGAAATTTTATTCAGGCAGATATTAGTTGCTTTTACACCTAACGTAACATTCCAGTTTATCATGAACATTGCAACAACAACACAGAGTGATGTCTCAGAGGCATTGAACCAGGTATCTTTGTGTTCTGCTTTGCTTTGTCTATTTACATCATATTAAAGAACCGCTGTGCAGTCAGTCTGTTTACATTCTTTCATCTGTGTTGGAGAGCGGCCGTCAGAGGTCTGTGAAATGTAAAAAGAAACAGACAACAGGAGTCCCCCCCCTCATTTCCACAACAAAGTCCTTCTTACTGACAATCTCTATACGCTCAAGATTATATCGGGTTTAAGAAACTTTTTAGTTATTTGTGATGAATCATAAAAAGCACTTTGGAAAGTGCTATCCAGTACGAAGAGTCCCGAAGTTCTTAAGTCATATAGCAGTAAATATCCTTCTAAAATAGTCACAAACATGTGAGATAACACTAAAAAGGCCAGTGAGGGCATCCATACATTTATCTATGTGAACAATGAACAAAGATGCAACCTCATCTCCATGGATCATGAATCAATTCTGCAGTGCATTCTAAGTCTTCTCATCCCATGGCGCCTTTAAAAAAAACCATTTCGCTGACAGCTGAGACCTGAGACCAAAAGGCTTGTTGAAAATAAGATTTGTATGTCCTTAAAATATTTTTTGCTGAAACCTCAGGTGTGAATCTTCTATTGTGATTCACATAAATTAATTTGTTTATCATTCAAATAACCTGAGCAGACAGACAACAGGTATTGCAGAAAATATTCTTAGAAATGTGTATTTTTTCCAATAGATATTTCTATTTTTGTCTTTAGTGTGGGAAAATGCTGTGTCACTTTCTGCTGACTGAGGCTTCTGTGTTGCACTCCACAATCCTCTTTTGAGCTCATGCGTTTTTACCAATGAATGTGTGCCAGTGTCTGTGTGATCCTATCACAGCTTTACCTTAGCCTGGCAGGTGATTGAAATAATTCCCAGCTCAGCATGCTGGGCTCTGAGATGTGAATTGTATCCCATACACAGAGGCCTCACACTGCAGGACCACGTCTTCCTGAGCTGCATCCGGGACGATAACGTGCACTGATCAGCTCTGATGCACCGCACGTGAATTAAACCGTCACTGAATTAAGAACAAAAGCATTTTCATCCTAAATTTTATCTAATTTTGAGATGCTTCAATGAAATATGAAGAGATTTGTTGATTTTTTATCCATAATTTGTTTTCATTAGAAAATCTTAACAGATCAACAGATTTTGTCGTGGATTATTCTGACTTTTCCAGCTTCAAAGTTTCCAATTTCAGAGCTCAGATCTCAGCATTTATGTTTTCATTTGTGTAGCAACAATCCTCTAGCTTACATTAGCACTTTTTTATTTCATTAATGAGGGACCCATAAAGCTTACTCTATCATGCACACCATCTAATGCATCAGTATTCACTGAACTCAAGCACCTTCATCCTAAATTTTCTCTAATTTTAAGATGCTTCAATGAAATATGAAGAGATTTGTTGATTTTTTATCAATAATTTGTTGTCATTAGAAAATCTTAACAGATCAACAGATTTTGTTGTTAGGATTATTCTGACTTTTCCAGCTTCAAAGTTTCCAATTTCAGAGCTCAGATCTCAGCATGTATGTTTTCATTTGTATAGCAACAATCCACTAGCTTACATTAGCACTTTTTTATTTCATTAATGAAGGACCCATAAAGCTTACTCTCTCATGCACACCATGTAATGCATCAGTATTCACTGCTTTTGCGTGGCTGAAAGGGTGTTTCTTTTAAAAACTTAATTCACAAGTGAAAATGTCAGCCAGCCAAGAAGTGTAATTAACTGCTCATTTTTCAGGGAATATGACATTTGAGAACTCACCCCCATGATCCCCACGTGATTGATCACCTTTAGTTCACTCTATGAAATCAGTATCTCTATCCCAACGTCTGTGTGAAAGGAGGTTATAGTCCTTGCTCTATAGAAGGTGCAAAAGGCTGTAATTTCCAGATGTATATGACCAGCATTCAAAGATGGTGTACAAAAACACCAACACAGCAGCCTGTGAGATAGTTTTTTTGGCAAAGCATGTACACTCACCACAATCTGACCTCAATCAAAGCAAGCACATCTGCAAGACAAAAATTTGAACCTGTTGACCATCGCTTCTAATTTCTAATTGTGCTATTTAAACAGGATTATGTATATATTAGGTCATGCTGAATGTAGTTTTTAAAGTGCAGCAAATTAGATTTGCTACATTTTCCCAATCTACAGTTTTGTGTTTTGCCTTTTTATCTGACTAAGCAGCCCTTACTGGTTTATGCCAAGTCCTAACTTGGTTCATGAGGTATCAAAGAGCCACTGACCTCTGACCTCGGAGGAAAAGTGGGCAGAATGGCGAGTTACAAACAGCTGCAGCTGCTGGTCCAGGTCGCAACACTTGAGATCGACGTCCCAGGATCGAATTCCTGCCGGAGAGGAAGAGAGAGAGAGCATGAGGACAATGTGAAGCAGCGAACGGGAGACATTAGTCATCCTGAGACGCATTTGGTATGCAGTGTTGATATGGTAGTCTTCCTCGCTCTGATTCTGTGAACACAGGGTAACCTTTTGCCATCTGTTATCACCTCACCTTAATCGCATCCTCCCCACCCAGGTCTGAGTATAAACTATTTGGGCAGAAGCAGCATAGGTCATCAGCAGTGTGGAACTTTTCACGATTCAAATTGTCAACCTTTTGTGAGAGGAATGCTGTCCTTTTCTGCTTTCTTCTGGGTTATTGACATTTTTTGTTTTATCATGCCCAAAAATGTAATCTGGTGAACGGTCTAAAGTGCAAGCCCAGTCCAGCACCTGGACTATACGTGCTGAATAGTTCAACATTATTATGTCTGACAAATACTTGTAAATGAAAGCATTTGCGTTATTTCAAACCGTTAGCACGTGCCTTTATTACTGATAGTGTCTTATCAGATATGGACAGTTCCAGAAAAAATCATTCACCCCCATATCTAAGGAAATGCAAACAAGATGGACAATCCATCACCTCTTAAGTCCAGAGGATGTAATATGTATCATGAAGAAAATCCAAATTTGATCTGGCATTACAAAGCTCCACCCACTTTAGATTCGTTTTTATCCATTGCACTGGTTGGTCTGTTTGCTGGAACAGTTTACCAGGGGTCCCCCTCTCTGCCCATCACCCCTTCCTCTTTTTTCATTGCTGCATCTCTTTAACAGAACATCCTCCCCCCCCACTTGCTTATAACTGTTTATTGAAATTATTCACTGACTTTATTGTCAATTCTCCAGTATTCTGTACACTGAATGCATAAATGTCAATGTAAATTACATTTATCTTTGCTTCTTTTGAACAATGTCCATCCAAATTCTTTCAAACTGCAAAAGAAAAAACATTTTCCTAAGGAACTGAATATTGAATATCACTGACCGGGTGAGTCTGATGATTTATACTGGACTAAATGCTAAATATAGTAGCCTACATGGGTGAGACTAAGATATCCATTAGCATGTCATGAAAACCTCACCAACTTGTCAGCTGTCTAACAAATTTGAATTTTGGACATTTCTGGACATTTCGAATTTGTGTAGAAAAAATATATTTTGCCCAGTTATCTTCTCTAGTAAATCTATCCTCAAAGTTATTCTCACCCTTGCCTCCGGGCCTGGAATATATATGTACATTTTCTTGGTAGGATGTTTGATGTTTTCAGCTAAAAACTTCAGAAAGTAGTTTTCTCCCTCTCTGAATCACAGTTAGAGATGCGCTTTCAAACTGAAAGCTGTTTCTTCACCCTCAAAGCCAAAACTAACCATGTGAAAAAATCCAAAACACCACAGTGAGTGCATATTATTATTAAACTCCATACTCCATGAGTGATTCTTACCTTAAACTCGCATAATAGCTCAAATTAATTAGCAAACAGCAAATAGACTGAAACATATTGCAACATGGAGACTCAGTATAGAGTTTTTGACAGATTTGCTTTAATTAGATTTTGCTTGGCTGCTAAAGCTAACGACTACTCGCCATAACCACCACTCAGCATCCTGGAGGCTGTGAAAAGCTGCAGTGGAAAAAGTCTTTAAACAATGTTTTAAAAGTTAAGAAATTAAAACATGTATTTGTAGTCTTCATTGCGTTTATTATATTACGTTCAATGTCAAAGTAGTGCTGTTTTTTATCCTTTGGCTGCCAAAAGAAAAAGCTCATATGGTCTTTAAAACCGAAAAACCATTCAGTCTGCAGGCCCTAGTCTCCGGGAAACTTTGCATCACCAGCTCAGAATGAGTTGGAAAAAGAACAACAACAACAATCTGACATGATAATCTTTAAACTGGGGTTATATTGCATGTCTAGTTTTGAAAAGCAAGTGTAAAAAACATAGCACTTCTGTTTAGGTTGCCACCATTATTTATGTCTGTGTTTGGAATAAAAGGGTTCAACGCTGCAATGCATTCCTTGCAGACTTTATCTTCTACATGACTAGCACTGACAACTAACACAAAAATTTCAGCCAGTTTTATTTGGAGTTTGACTGCAGTGCTGCAGGGAGGCTGACTCGTTGCAGGCCTACACAAGGACCTTGCAGAGGGATATCTTAAGCATCATGTGTACGTAATGAGAGTCGATGGCGGGTCATTCACACTGACTCACAGCAGAAATGCTGGCCTGGGTGAAAGGATCGATACTGTGCTGATCTAGTGGGTGTGATACCCAACTTGCTACAGAGCAGCAAAGATGTCAGCTCCCAAAGCATATCATAGTAGGCAAGGAGAGGGGACGGATTAAGCTACCGTGGTGCTGGACTGGCGTCAAAAAGATCAAATCTGGACAGAAAACAGATGAGAACAGCAATGGCACAGCGGGAAACTGCTGACTGGCGCTGACTCCTGGCCAAACTGCGACACCTGTCACAAGCACATACAAAACCTTTTCCATCTTTCCACTCATACACACTGACTGCACCCTGATGCAGCTATTCAGGTGGAGCATTAGCTCGTGTGGTTCTCAGATATTCACCTGAGTGACTATGCCTTGGTGTGACACCAGGGGGGTGAACTTTTTACATAATTTGTGAGAGAGGGATAAATTCTAATCTGATCTGCAGTGGAAAAACCCCACTTAACAGTTTGATATGACTAGTAAATGTAATCAGATTAATCAAACACTAGTACTAATACTATACACATCAAATTCTAAGTTATAGATTAGTAATTTATGCACCTTTGCTGATTGAAGGAATATTTCTTTTGATTGGTTATCACTGATTAAAGCACTTTGTTGTCAAGAAGTAATCTATACCAGCCTTTTAAATAATACAAAACTCTGCCCTGTTAGCACAGAAAAATACCTTTTAAGATAAGTGTGCAATTGGAAAGCTGCATAGGACTATACACGAAGGGATTTTACAGGGAAAATGCATGTGCCGTGTCCCATGGTGCAATGCTGCAGCAACTACCTCTGCCTATGGATGCCGTCCCGCTCGTTGCGTCAAAGCATCTTGGTTTTTTGCAGGTTTATACCCTTCCCGCAGGGATTTCCATCATCATTTGCAGCACTTCAAATCAAAGCCGCCAAACAAGTCATAAAGAAAGCCAAAGTGCTGCGTTCCCGTTCCATCACTAACCTCGTTCTATGTGCGCTCTGGCTGCGTCCAGCTGATGCTCCGTGCCGATCTCCCCGATCACTATCAGCAGATAGTAGCTGCTCCGGTTGAACGGCACCCCGCGCCGGCGTCTGCCTCCCCCGCGCCGGTGCCGCAATCGCTCCTCGGACCCCGGAGCGATGGAGCCCTCGTCCTCCTCCACCACCGGGAGCGCACCTCGCACCGGTATCTCCATGGCAACAGTCCCCGAAGCCGACGCCGGGGCTGACTCCATCGCCATGACAACTTGCCGGTTGAGGAGAGGGCAAGGGAGGAGGAGAGTAGCGGGGTGGGGGACGGTGGATGTGGAGGATGGTGGTGAGAGGTGAGGGGGGGAGGAGGGATGTGAAGGCAGAAGGGGCCTTCCAGGATTTAACTAACTGAAATATCACAAAATTGTAAAAACGGACGTTGGTTTGAGTCTTTTGATGAATGAAAGGTTTCCAACAGTGTCATCAAGTTTTATGGCTGTACAACTATATGAAAAAGTATTATATTTTTCATATGACAGTTTTTTTTAAGTTTGCCAAAGCTAAAACTATTACTAAGCAGCGTTTAGACACACATTATCCATGACTGACCAAAGGCTGTAGATAAGAAGAACATGTCTAATTTGTCTCATGAGAATCTCATGAGAATTGCTTTATTAGGGCAAGGTGTGAGGTCCAAAACTAAAAGAAATAACTCTGTGTACTTTTTTCCAAAAGTTTATGGTGAATATATTTTGTCCATCAGGTCATCAGCTCGATAGAACACTTCTGATTATCAGTATCTGGCTGATCACTTTGACAGTGTAGTTCTGAATCCATTGATTCATCCATCCATTTGCAAATTTTTAAGCAGAGATTCTAAAACTTCAGACTCTCAGCATCCCCCTTCAGGTCTTTGAGGGGGACAACAAGGCTCCACTAAGCCAAATGCAACTCATATTTCCAGTTGGGTCTGGGTCTGCTCCAATGAGATCCACAGAAAATTCTTCTAATAGGTGAACCACTTGCCCAAACAACCTCATCTGTCTACTTACAATGTAATTACAATAGCATGACACAGGTCCCACTCCCACTATAGTGAGACCACCTTCAGAGGAACCCCCTATTTACTATTTGTATATTGTAGGTTTATTGTAGGTGATAACCCAAATTTGCCGTGTCGATGCATCGAAACGTAATGTTTTGGGACTTTGGTGCAAGTCATGTTTTATTTTATTGAACTCATTTGATTGCAGATTGATTATTTTCACATGTGATAAGGACACGTTCTGTAATATAAACCTGCCTTCCTTTTGAAAGGAAGTCTTTGTTAAGCTGGTAATATTACCAATACAAACTATTTTCTCTGTCTAACAAATCTGTCTTTAATGCCTATCTGTTCACACATTTCCCAAGTTGAACAAGTTGCACATGACCATTATCATCCGACCTGTCGTGTTGAAAAGCATCAACTGTAAGAGGGACTTCCAAAATCTCAAAAATAATCTTTGGCAATAGTTGCCGTCGGCTCACAAGTCAAATAGCATTCAGCTACAAATGTCATAATTTTACACAAAAACTCAGAGAACTATTAATAACTAATCATTTGACTTAACAATTTAGCTCATGAGAGCCTTGAACTAATTTTCCCTAAAGGGGAATTGTAGGAAATAGAAAATGGACCAAATTAACTCCCTATGATAGATTTGAAAAACTACGTTTTCATGTGCTACCACCAAGTGCCAAAGATCTGTCATTTCCATAGGTTTAGATGGCCATTTTAGACACATTTATTTTTATTTGAATTGGTTTTTACACCTCAGACAATGTTTAAATCCTGGCTGAAAATATTTCTACTTGTATATGGCTACTAATTTTATCTGCACTTTTGATTTATTTAATCTAGAATCTTTACCTGTTTTACTTTGTTTAAGTAATTATTGATTTCGGATTTTAAATTCTTACTGTTTAATGCATTTTTCTGCTTCTTTTCATATGTAAAGCACTTTGAATTGTTATGGACGTGGTTTCTATGGGTAAAGCAATGCACCCGACTGCTTTACATCCAGGATGGAAACATCAGCCAGTTACAGTTGACTTTCATTTTGAAGGTAACTCATCTGACTCAGTACAGTTTCTCCGGAGTATAAAATGTTTCTTTTTTCTTTTTTGCAACTGAGGAAAACTCAATACTTATACACTTTCAAACAACAAAAAGTGATCTAATGAAGTGTTTTGTTTTGCAATCGGATTTACTGCTTGTTTATGTAGCTGCTTGTTTATGTAGTTTATGTATATGTTTTAATTCATATAAAAGAAAAACCATGGTTGATGGTTGTGAATGCTCTTGGAAAATCCATTCTAGCCTATGAAACAGCATAATCTGTCACAACAGCATGCTGATTTAATGCCACTTTTGAACATCCGTTAACTCAGAGCATTCGAAACAACTAGCATTTTATGGAAAGTGCTGTGATTAACCAGCAGGATAAACAAACCACTGCTGGTGCCTCGTATTCCTCGTTTAGGATTCAGCTGACGTCGGAAAGAAGTCATTCTGTGCTGTGAGTGCAGAGGGCTTATTAAGATGGAGGGAATTAAAGAACAATTTTTTTCACACTTCAAATGCCTTTCTGTGCGCTCGGAGGACACGCTGATAAAGACAGGCCAGGAAAGTGGACCGGGTCGAAAATAGCTTCTTTCCTCTCGGAGAAACACTCCTCATCCGAGTCTTTTCCCAGCTAACCTTGAGCTCGGAACATCTCAGCGTGTAGCAGAGGGTGTAATCTCAGCGTAGACAGTCAGCTCCATACTGAGGGGATGATGACAAGGAGGCCTGGGCTCTTCATGCCAGCTTTTTACACTGCTTGACAAAAGCAACCATTACATTCAGTAGGAGCACTACTATCCAGGTTTTAGGACTATTGGTAGTGGAAGGTTAGATACTTAAAAATTATATTAAAAGTAAATTAGATTTGGTTCTGTTTGCTTTTAGGAACAATCAGGGGTTTTCATCTTGGGCATCGTCACTTCATTTGAGTTTGGGAGAGCTTCAGTGAAGGACAAAAGTAAAATGTAGTAGAGTTGAGATACCTTTTAAAAGGCTTTTTGCTTCAAGCCTCTTAGACAGTGAGTCAGCACTTCACTCTGTGGACCGTTGACTCCACCGCCATGCTTCCCTCTAGTGGTAAATCTGGATCCAATGATTATGCTCCTCCACAAATCAGGCGATGACGTAAGTACTTTATTTTCTATAGGCTACAGCTGACTCACCGACATAAACAGTTCTCCAAGATAATGTTTAAAAAATGAGGAAATAAGACTGAGAAAATGTATGGAAAATTCTATTCTTATTCTAATCAAAATAGAAAATAAATATTCCAGTGTTCCTTATCTCACAGGGAGGATCAGACTTGCTAATGTGGTGTCAGTTTTTATGATGGTAGCTCATCATTCTCTTGACAAGCTTTTTTTTCCTAATAAATTTCATGCTTCTTGACTAAGCTCTAAATATAAAAACTTTTCCATGTTCTCTTTATCTCAATGCAAATGTAAGATGTTAATCAGAATTAGTCAGCTTGGAAGAGGAAGCTGGTTATTAATTTAGCTTTCATTATGGTAGATCTCAATACAGCTCATTTGTCTATTTTTATTTTGTGATGAAACTACGAGGTGTTGTTTTTTTATCATCAAACAGCCTTTAGAACGTACTTTCGGACCATTGTCTCTCACTAACCTTCAGTGTCAGTGGGAGAGGTCACTTTTTCCCTGCAGCCATCAATTAGCCCAAAAAAGAACAAAGAAACCCTGTCTTTGACTGAAAAACTGTCTGTTCAGGTAGGCGTGCTGTCGGGCTGGTGATAGTGGTTGATGGGAGGAGGCTGCAGCTTTTCCGAGCCTTCAAATAGAAACCCAGACAGCTAATGCAGCAGTCTGGGTTACAGAGAAGGGCTAGCACCCCCTAACGAGCAACAACGACAACGTAGATGATAACTCAGATGTTTGTGGTGTGGAATTCGTAAACAATATATCAGGAAAACATGGGATTAAAAGTGAGAAACCTCTTTGGATCATCGAGTTCAACCAATACTGCCACATGCAGAATGCATGTGAACATATTCACAGAGAGCTTTTCAACCTACAATGCCCCCCCCCCCCCCCAAAAAAAGGCTATTAAAGTAGTTCTTTGTTGTCTGGACTATTTTCTAGCACTGATTTAAGCACATTGGGCTTGTTGTGGAGGTGCAGAAACAGCAGCCCCTGCTGGGTAAATATGATACAGACAGAAAAATTATGAAGATAAACACATATTATAAAAAATAAATACAAGAAATTAAACTTTAATAGAAAGCAAAGCGTTTTATTAGACTTGAAATTCACTGATGCAATACAAAAAGTACTGAAACATGCTCTCACATATAGCATCCAGACATACTGTATGTATGCAAACCCAACAATCCTGAATGATTCATATAAAAAAAAAATACAACTTTGTGTTAAAACTGGCATTTGTTGGCAAAAGCATTTAAATTTTTATTGAATTTGTGGCCGTTTTTCTTTTTACTCCTCAAAAAAACAAAAACAGTTTATCAGACACATACACAGGCTTTCTCATCATGTGGAAAAAATCTACAACAGTGTGCAAATAACTTAGAGATGTATGTCAAGAGAGGCAAGGATGACTTACAAGCATAATCATTTAAGAACAATTGAAAAACCAAGTTTTTATCTGGATAGAGGAGATGTTCAGAGATTGTTGGTCAAATGGCAAATGCTGTGGCAAAACCTAAAATTGTCTATTGGAAATTGCTAATAAGGTACAAATACGGTCAGAAGGTAATTGAATGTCACAAATTCTGGAAAATCCATTTCATGATTATTCAAGGATTCGCTCAAGAACAAGGTCACTGTGACAACGTCATGGAGACAAGCAGCTCAGATCTCATCCTGACCCCAATGTTCAAATGAAAATTACTTAACCCACGTTAAGATGTCCCAGCCCTGTAATGAATGATTTCACATGGACTGAATGAGCTGGTGTCATCCACGTGTCATTGTTTGGAAAATCTGTTTTGTTTTGTTTTCCTTTATTACGCCACATAATGCTTTGGTTTTCAAATAAACAGCACTGGCACAGGCAGGACAAAAGCCTCCAGATACTGATTCAACAAAATATAACTGATCAGTGGAGTTAAAACAGAATTAACAGTGGTGTGAAATTAAACTGTATCCTCTGTGTATTACATTTAAGTCTGTTTGTGTCTGCTCTCTATAAGCATGAGATGAAATGATTGCAACGTTGAATTTACAACGGTGGAAAACCGTTTAAAAGAGTATCCTTCCTTACCGAAAAAAACTGGTACAGATTCAAAGCAATATATTTACATTACGTCTATGCCAGACATCATCATCGCCAAGCTTAAATTAGTTAAGCTTGACGACGTGTTAACCCCGGCACCCAGCTGGGTTTAACACCTCCGAGAAATGCTTTGGAGACGGGTGGGTGGATGGCAAAGAGAGACACTTCATATAGTTTATATTACAGGATCACCATGCACAACACAGGCGTACTGCCGTTGTGTTGGTGCCTCCATTCATCAGCTCACATGCAAACCCAGACATTACATCTAAGAGCCATGCTTAAAAGTGGACACAAAATGTACAGAGCAAAGGCATGCTGAAATAGCAATCAGTCATCTTCCTTTTTGTTTTTTGTTTTTTACACAATATCATTCACTTGTCGCTTGACTTTCCACTCCACTTCTTTCATACACCCACACAGAACCGGACAAGTCGCTGTGCAGGATGTACTCTGGATGTGAAAAGTAAAAACTGACATGAGGAATTACGAGTGCACCGGTGGTGTGGGTGAAATTGGGGAAGCCTCAGCTGGCGCAAGGTCTATACATTAAAAGGTCAGATTATAACTTGCGGCCACCCACCCAGAGCCCTTAGATGACTGGAGAAGGGTCGCTCCTGGTTTGGTGCCTGCCTAAATTCTGTATTGTTCAGCTTTTGTTTTTACTTAATCATCTGGACCTGATAACATACAGACCTTGACCCGTTTGCAGGAGGTCAACATAGCTCAACCTGCCACTAGTTGTTTCCCCGCATGGCTCCCTGAGCGGCGGAGGAGGCGGCTCCGGCGGCGGCTGTTTGGAAGGTTTTATTGGTGAAGACGCCTTGCGAGAACTCCTGCTGAGCCTTCTGGAAACTGGCCCCAGTGCGGCGGTACATGCTGTGGACCTGGGGAGGAAGAAAACTTGAGCGTATAATCCTGGACATCAAGTATTTAAGAGAAACTGGCTTGAAAACAGTTCAAATCCTAAAAACGAAATTCTTGCAGTTCTCTGGAAAAACTTTAATCGTACCATCTTGAGCAGGATAACAGATATAACAGCGCATATAGTGAAGAGGATAGCCACGATGATCATGATGGCTCCCACCGCTTTGTTGGTGCCGATGATGGTGAAGGCACTGATCCAACCACTGGAGGCAACAAAAAATAGGAGTGAGGTGGTCTTATTATGGACATTAGTGACAGGCAGCTTCAACACAGGGATAGGTTTACATGCATGCAAACACGGGTTATAGAGTACTTTAAAAAAAAAAAAAAAAAAAGGAAGAATAGGTTGAAAGTCCAAGAGAAAAAGCTTAATATTTTCAGTCATTTTCAGATTTGTACTCTGGATGTGTCCAAAGCACGTTTAAAACAACAAAACAAGAGATAAATCTCACATTTTATCTTTAAAAACCACTCTCGTAGCTTTACATTACTGCAGATTGCTTCTCATTTGTAACTGTGCCACCTTCTTCATCTTTTCTTCTTCTTTAGAGACTGAGCTCACATCCTGCCTTCATTAACTACATAAATCACATGTTTTTAAGGCAAATTACAACTATAAGAGGAGGGAAAATGCAAAACAGAGCAAAGAAAGACTGAGTGCTGGCGGCACGCAGCAAACGGTGAGCAGTAGAGACTTACAGGGTTACCGGCTGATAGAAAGGCTGAAGAATGGAAAGATTCTGTCAGAGAAGACGAGGCAAAGGAGAAAAGCCAGCAGCCAAGAAAACAAGACACTTCTTTCAGTAAATCATTGCATCATGAAAACAATTATATCAGGTCATCTGATATTGGGACATGTGTTAATGTCTTACCTGTTGCCCCACTTGGGGATGCCCACAGACTGAATGATGAAAATCACCACTTGACAGAAGAATACAAAGAAGAAGAAGAAGAAGCTGAAGGAGCTGTCCGTCCTAAACAGAAAAAACAAAACAATTCAGCTCCACAAAACTTTTAAAACTTTTTAAACCATCATAAGAGTTTGTACATGCTACCTTTCATTAAGCATTAGATGATAAAACACTGGAACAAACTGGCCAAAGGAAGGATGGTTTCTTTCAATTCCAGATTAAGTTCCAATAAACTTAATCTAAAATGTATGGAATCTGACAGATTCACAGTATTCAGCTTCTACTCTTTCTCTCAGGTCCAGTGATCCTAAAAACTGCACAGGATAAATGGACCTGATGCCAGTAGGTGTTTATAGCTGTGAACTAGAAAACATGAATAGATTACAGCCTAACGAGTTCTGCTCCAAATCTGATATTTACAATACAAAAACAATGTGTTTTACATGTTTTTAAAGCTATAGTGCTCCATAAAAGTCTTATCTTATCTCTTTGGAGTTCCACCATTTTCTAAGGTTCATCTAAGGTGGTTCTGGCATGTGCCATCTTTAACTGAGACTAAGCTGATCTGCTCTCGATATGCTCCTGAGCTGCAAACGGATGTAAAACGTCTGTTACAGCTGATTCTGGGACACAGTTTGATGGGTCCATGTGTAAGAACAGCTACCAGTAAATGCATTGCAGGCAATGCCCCTGGAGTATCACACTAGGTGTGATACTCTTCAATCACACTTGGTGCCATGCACATATCTTTTTTTTCAGTCAGTATTCACGTGCATGCTGTGTACACAGCATGACGTTTTAAAAACACTCGGCCATCTTGGCCAGAGTCTGAGGTCCTTCCATTAGTACAAAAAAAGCAAAGGAGAAGTTCTCAGTCTCAAGACATAATTATCTGAATCCAAAACAAAAATACAGACAGAAATAACACCCAGGAAAACATCTAAAAGTTACACATTTCTAGTTTTTTTTTTTGTCCCTTTTGTAATGTATATAAATTTGATTTATTTTGAGGGGGAGTGAGCACAGCACACCACGGCTCAGTTCAGGAAGGGGGGAGGGGGAACTCACCTGAAGGCCTTGTAGACAGGTCGGTACCAGCAGAGGAAGGAGCAGGGAGTGAAGAGGATGAGCCAGAGAATGGAAAGGCCAAAGTCCACGCCGTAGGTTGCGTCGGTGGTGAAGTAAGCCAGGCACGCCAGCAGGTTGAGGAACAGAGTCACACAGTTGACTGGAGCAGAAAGGACGGCAAAACCAGCACAATGTTACTTCGGAGCATTTCGTCGTGTCAGATGACATAACTTCCAGGCACCCCTAGCACCTCCATACACTTACACATCCAGAGATAGTACATCATTTTGCAGACTCTTTGATACTCTGTGGGGATTTCCTCCGAGAAGTCCTGATAGAAACATGGTTTGATGGGGAAACTCTTGGGAAGTGGAGGCCAGTTGTTTTCTTTGCCTGTTGAGACATGACTGAATGTCAGCTGTGGGGGTGTTTTTTTTTTTTTTTTGGTCATCTAAAGCTGAAAGGCTAAATCTGTTAAATCTTGATGGATGTAAAAGGGAAAAAAATGGCTGATGTGCTGATGCTGAAACTTGAGTCCATGTTCATTCCCTTTCTAGTATGTTTGATAAAAAACACCAGCTTGGCCTTAGACATTTCCATTACTGAAAACTGCATATACCAAGCTAGTGTAGATTTAAAATCAACTTAATAAAGATTGAATCACTCAGAGTTCAAAGTACTTAGGCATAAAGAAATAAATAAAACCTAACCTAGTTTCTGAACTTAAAGGAAAAAATAATTACGGATTAAAACACAATTTAACTGAGTTTTGGATAAGCATGTGACATATTTGTGAGCAGCTCAAGTGGATACACGAGCATTTTTCACAACCAGAAGAGTGCGGAGTCTTACGGACTGCTTTTTAATGCATAACGCAAAGACTGCACAATGTCTTCCTAACACAACTGCAGCAGGGGGGAGGGAGGTTGGTTTGACCTGTCGATCCTCTGCTCTTTAGCTCCAGCTCCCTGCGGTCCAGCTCGGCAGCTTTTCTCTCCAGCTCCTCCTGCTGCCTCAGCAGGTTGGCCTGAGCTGCTGCAGCAGATGCCTGGAATAGTGATAGTGTTAGGGGGGGAAAAAAAGATAGAAAAAAACTGAAACACAGGACTCCACAAGCGCATTGGATAAAGAGATTCTTCTGAATTCTGCTATAATGTAACACTCAATGACTCCGCTCACGAGGGGAATTAGTACAAAAACTGTAAGCAGGAGGAGTGTTTATAAAGTAATACTTGGACTATTTCAGTTATGCAGCAATACAAGTTGTTTGAGATTAAACAAAAGGGTAAAAGACACTTGTGCTAACAAAGAGCTGGCTTCCACCATTTTCAGAAAATCTCACATGTTGACTCGAGAACTATAAAACAAACAGGTTAAGTTTAGGTTTAAGATGTTACTTTTTTTTGGTGTAAAATGGACTGAGCTCAGCTGTGTCAAAATCTGATTTCTACAGATGAAAACAGGAGAGCGAAGTGTAACCGTCTCTTTGTTGCAAGATATTTTCATTTGCAATTTGCCTTCTTTATTTACTGTGTTATATTTAATCTGCCAAAAAATCTGTGGCAGCACCAATTCTGTGCAACAGTGAAAAAGTGTTGATAAGGTTTACACATGAACAGGAACAAGAGGAAGGTCAATTTAGACTGCAGCAACTTATTGGTGTGTTTGGAAAAGAGGCTTTGTGTTATCACCTGTGGACTGGGCTCTGTGGATGGCTGCAACACGGCCGGCTGGTAGGGAGTTGTCTGAGTAGCCAGGCCATCCTGAGAGAGAGGAAGAGATTAAAATGCAATAAGGGAGCAAAAAAAAACTAAAGTCAAAACAGAGAGAAAAAGTTCCCAATGAATACAGGAAATAACACGGAAGAAAGGGGAGTGGAAAAGGTTGAAATGATTAAGTAAATATGGATAGGTGGAAAAGAAAGTGTGGGAATAACCCGTTATCCATTTCCATTAGGGCTGCTGTTGCTGTTTGAAATAAAACAGGGTCTATTAGAAAGCACACAGGAAAGATGTGTGAAGATGGCAAAAAATTCAAAGCTCAGGAGAGGGGCCAAAAGACAGAAACGTAACATGTGTGGGTATAATGAGAGCATCCAGAGATGATTCCCAGAATCCATCGGCAGGAGATACTTTTTTGTGACAGAGAATCAAACAGGGGGAAAAAATGATCTTACATTGGACTGGGGGAACGGGCTGTACTGGTCAACTGGTTCAGCACTAGAGGTGGTCACCTGAGTGACAGAGGGATCCTGAAGAATAAAAGAAAAACACACCCACAGCTGGTTAGAAACTCCTTTAAAAACAAATTCTCTATACGGTTTGGTGAGCCCTTAATCATACAATTGCAGCTGATGGCATGAGACCTGGATGTTTCTTTGAATGCATTTGCATGAAACTAAAAATACTCCATTTGATCATTCTCTGAGGCACAAAGTAAACAGCACGCCAAACCATCTGATTCAATGCTCCGCTTAGTGACAAAATTGAGTACAATAAGATCCAGCTATTGCGAGGTAGCCTTGCAAGTTCTTGTTGAATCATTACCGTGGTAAACCATTTGTAATCATTAAAGTCCTCCAGCAGGTTTGTTTTCACAGGAGCTCACACACATTATCTTCTCCTCCTGAGTAGCAAAGCTCTGGCTCTGAAACATTGTATCAGAATTCATATGGAAAAGAATTTCTGTGGCCATTTCGGAGCATTCTTAGGAGCCAAAAAAAAAAAGGAATAGAGCACATTCCAACAGCAACATAAAAAGAAGACAAAAAAAGACAAGGTCTAGGAAATGCATGACTGCTTGGTCATCCTTGTATTAAGTTATTCCTTAAATTTAGCTGAGATTACAGCATTAGAGATGCTGAGTAAGACAATTTGATGAATTGTTTTAATGGCTTTTTGTGTTCGAGGAAACTCTCCTAATGACTTTGACACACCCACATTTCTAGTTAAAAAATCCCTGACCTAAGAGATAATTGAACAATGTTCTAACTTTGTTTCTGACCTTTTTCTTCCATTACAGCATCTGCCATTCATACCTGCCATTCTGGACATTACAAGGAACCATAGACAGTGGACTTTGGTTTAACATGAACATGTTTAAAAAGGGAAAGCTAAGTCCACTCAGTAATTTAAAGAAGGGAAAGGGCACTTGTCATTCCCGCAATGATAGAAATGTGACTTAATTTTTACTTTGTGACAGCTCATTCTACAAAGGGGGCTGAAGAAACACAAAAACTCTGACAGTTTAATGAGGCACAAACATTGGGCACGGTCATGACGAGGACAAGCTCCGCTTCCAGCACCTGTCAGAGCCGAAGGATGCACTTGCACTTTTATCTTTTTTCATTTCATTTCTTCAGAACCACTAATGGCAAAACAAAACAACATTTTGACAGCTGACATTTTAATCATAACGTTGGCGCCATAATAATGTCACAGTGCTTCTTTTGTATTCTGTACAAGATAGAGCCTGATCCAGGACTATTTTTTAAAAAATGTTTTTTTTAAATACAACCAGCAAGTGTCTGAGTTTCTTCTTTAACCTATTACTTTAATGTATTTTGTACATACTCATTTATCCTCCTTTAAAGTGGGGCTAGAACGAGCGCCTCACATGATAGCCCGACATGTCACTCTGGGGCCATGTGACTGAGTGTGAGCTCACCATTATTAGCTCTGGACACACCTGTAAATATTCCCACACAGGGATGTCTGACTAGTAGCATTCTTTCATAAACAATAATACAACAAATGTGTAGGGACATTTTTCAGAGTTCTGACACAAACACAAAGGCCAATGTGAAGTTTAATTTTGAGTCTCTGCTTTGTGTGGAGCAAAGCTTTCTATGAAACAACATGCTTAGGTAGCACTGCTCCATGTGGGAGACTGCTTGTGTGTTTGATACACAGCTGAGACAGCAGTGAACATTTAAGCTCACAACAACCATTAATCCTCTTTTAAATAAGGATTAAGCTGGGACACACCAAAACAAGATAGACCTGCCCCCCCAAAGACCAGTAAAGCTTTTGAATATGGGGATAAACAGCGTTCTGTCGCTGATAATCATGTTAAGTCATCTGAAAGCAATTCATTCTAACATACAACCAATAAAAACTTAATTCGAGATCAAATGAGCAGCAATCTCCACCTAAACATTTCTGGACCAGGAAACAGGACTTGCTCTTTGTTTAGGTGTGGCCGTTCCCATTTCATAACTTCACCAGGACAGGAGTTTGTTTCAGTTTACGTTCGCACGAAACACCCCAACAGAGCAGAAGGCAGAGGAGCAAAAGAGGGCACAAAAGCACCACATGTGCATGTTTAGGTGGAAAAGTGGGGGACTTGTACGAATGACAGGGATTTCTGTTGTACAGTTGCTGCCATCAGGCTATTCACTGAAGCACTTCCACACCCATCAAATAAACAGTGGCCAGTACTGTCGCCATGGCTATTGTGCACCTGACAGAATGTCACACACCACTTGTGGGAAAGTGACTGCATCACGTGATGTCAAAGCATAGCTTTTACCCATTCTTCATGCTGGAAAGGATGGAAAGTCAAATTCAATATTATGTCTGTTCATTATATAAACAGGCTGTGGAAGAAGCTTGTTATAGTTAAATTATAATTATGCTTAATTATGTTTGGAGGAGTTTAGCTTGTTGAGAGACAGTCACTCCCCAACAGATCAGATACATTTCCTCCTTATAATCATTTTATAAGCAAAACAAGCCTGCTAAAACAAGCCTGCCAGATGATAAATGATCTTCATGCAGTTAATTTCTAAACAAGCTTAATAAAATCAATTACGAATGATGAACTGAATGATCATTTAGGCTGTATCTCACTAGAATCTACTTTCTAAGTGGCTAATAGCTGTATCAATGTTGATTAAAATAGCAGAATTCCAGGTGACCATAAACCATGTCCTGTTTTTATTTTTATCAAAGCGTGGAAAAATAGGCCCTTTCCTCGAATAGTGAATAGTATGAAACGGTTTGACACACATTCCTTGCTGGCTACGGTTTAACTTCCTGAAACCTAACTCAAAGGTTATACCACCCCTTTTTCAAGACACCTCCTTGATAGGCTAAAGGACTGTCAAACAATTGTATTTGTGCAATGGCCTTTAAGAACGGCGAACTTGGTCCCTCCCTGAAATCCACCCAACAAGTTTCTTGGCGTGCTGGCTACCATTTAACGAATGATATGTCAGCAACCAGGCTCGGCAGTTAGCAAAAACCTCATAAAAATATCAAATATTCGCACTTACATTGAAAGGGTTGTCGCTAGCAGGTTGTGCGAACGGGTTGTTATCAAAGTCCGACATTCTGAAATGGCAGCGAGGTGTTTTAGCTTCTCTGAAAGTTCAATCAACAACAAACTCTTCTCTGTCTGGTCAACTGCCTGCTTTGCCTACTTCCTTGAATAGTTCACTGAGCATGCGCACTGAGTTGGCTGCGCAATGACTCGTGCGTCACTTGCCACAAACGCAGTAAAAACGCGCCACCCACCACGTCTAACTCAGATTGCTAGTCTATTAAAATCAGTTTTTTTTTTATTACAACAAATCCCTTTATAATACCTCAGTAGGAGTATTAAGAGGAGTATTCGTTTCTCTTTATGCACTTATTGTCCTTTATCATATTTTAACATGGCGCTTGAATATGACATCCAGGGGGGGAGTATAGTTGTACACTCAAATATTATTTACTAGGTGAAAATACCAATTACTGAAATGTGTGAGGCTTGATTCTGAAACAAGGATTGAAGAATTTCTTCAAGGACAAGGAGAGTCTACAAATACTGAACATAGTATAACTATATAATATTGTATAACTACCACATTAATCAACTATTATTTATTTTGTGTAATGTGTTCTACATTATCCATGCTGATTTCATAATATAATATAATATAATATAATATAATATAATATAATATAATAT